GAGCCATCCGTGCCAGGACCCAGATACAAAAGGCTACCAAGGACGGGGTTAGGCCAAGAAAGAACCTAGAAACAGCAGGAGCTGAGCGAGGCCTGGTCTCATCACTCAAGCCCATCTGACCTCTGGCCTTTCTGTCGTGTGTGAGGTCAATCTGCTTTATTCCCCAAGCCCATTAGAGTGGGGTCCTCTACTGCCTGTAAGCGGAACGCTGTCCTCGACTCAGAACCGAGGTCAGCGATGGCGCAACCTGAGTCCCGGGGCCTGGTGGGGGGCGGCCAGCGCGTGGAGGCTGAAGCCCCGGATTCCATCCCCAGCCCTGCTTTAACTGGGGAGCACAGCTCAGTGACTTGGCCTCTCTGGGGCTGTCCTCACCATTCCCAGAACCAACCCCCAGGCATGGAAGTTCTTCAGAATCTACATTCTGCTTGGCCCAACTCGAGAACCAGTCTGGACCGAGGCCGGCAGGAAGACACAATGCCAGTGGGCAGGGTCTAGAGGAGCACCCATGAGCCACCACGTGGGACTTTGGCCTCCCGGCTGGGCCTGACTCTCGTCAGCTCAGAGGTCAGTCCTGAGCCCTGGCCCTACCACACTGCCTCTCCTGCCTCCCTGCTCTTTCCCATCCTGGCTGGATCTCCCCGTCTGGCTCCTCCTACAGGCCTAGCAGCTGCCCCTTCCGGGAGCCTAGCAGGCTGCATGCTGTGTAAAGATCGCCATGATGTGCGTGGTTGCAATGCGGGTCAAGGGAAAGTCCATGGCCGACGCCTTCTACACTACTGCATGGGTTTCCTTCTCTTGGCATTCAGGGCATCAATCTCCTCATCTGTGGAATGGGTGTAGTCCTCGTGCTCCATCTATCCCCAGCACCGTTTGTCCCTGAATTTCTCCAGCAGTCCTACAAAGGGTCTCCTATCTGACTGTGTCACACCCCTGCACAAAACCCTTCCACAATCCATCTGAGCACACAAGGCCCTCCTTTACTGAGAGTCGGACAATCATACAAAACCACCAACCCGAGTTCCCTCCTTTACCACGGCAATACAGGTCCATGATTGTTCACAGACTGCATCATACCACCCCTCAATCCCTCATCCTACAGCTCAGGCATGTCCTGCTAAATGGTCTAAGTGTCACCTCCTCCAGGAAGTCCTCCCTCATTCTCAGGGTCATCACCGAGCACAAACACAGTAGGACCCCCTGAAATTCTGTGGCACGTTTATTAAGGTCACCCCCACTGTATTAAATCCTTTTTTATGCGTCTTTTTTGCCATCTAGACTATGAACACTCCAAGGGCAGGGGCTTTGTCTTCTCTTTGTCTACAGGCCCAGAAATCAGCACAAGGGCCCACACACACTAGATCTCCAACATGTATCTAGGAATAAGTGAGTGGAGATTAAGTAGAGCAGGGCCAACAGAGGAAAGAGTCACAGAAAGGTAAAGGGCCCGAGGGCGTTCTGTTTCAGACACAGCTTAGCTGTTTTCTCACAAGGCTGCAGGCCAGGCCCCTTCCTGGGAGCAGACCCTCATGGCTCTCCCAAGTCATGGCCAGCTGCTCCCACCGCTGGCCCCAACCCCAAGGCTTCCCTGTCCCTGACAAGGGGTGACATTCTCAGTCCCTGGAAGTAGTCAGCAAAACAGAGGCTGGGACTCTGCTCCCAGCCCCCACCTGCTGGTCTTAGAGGCTGGGGGAGGTGGGGGTGGGTACCAAACACTGGTCATGACCCAGGAAGGACAAATATCACCCCAATGCAGCAGGCAGAACAGAAGCTGGACACAAGCCAGTGCACGGAAAACCCACTTCTCCCTTCCTGTCCTTTGGGGGAGGCTGTCCTGAGAATGATCCAACAAGGATGTTGGAGGTCAGCCTTCAGGGTCAGATCCCTGCCTGCTGCCCAACCTCCCCCATCCCCCATCCCTAGCCACAGTCAACAGATTCCAGACAACCTCGGGTTATCTCAGGGCACCAGGTCAACAGCACTTGGCCTCTGAGATATGCAGTGCCCAACCATGTAAGTGGCTGGCTGGGGGTCACAGGAACCTGCCTTGTGCCCATTTTCTTGGCCCATCTCTCAAGGCAATCCCTGGGGAGAGGAGAGGGCCCCATATATTTCACCTGCCATGTGCCTTAGGGAGGGCTTTGTGTGTAGGGCTCTGACCTCAACAGCCATGGAGGTAGCAGATATGTTCCCACCACAGAAATGCAGATCCCACTGCCTTGCATTTAACCATCTCTAAGTCTCTCAGGGTGGGCAGGGCTGAGGACCCAGCCCCATTTTAATTTCCATCCAGCCTGCGCCCTGGAGGCGGAGCCTGGGGAGGAGCCAGGGTGTGGGCCCCGCCTCCAGCGCCGAACTGGTTTTCCCTGGTCACGGAGCCCTGGCAGGTGGACTGCGGCCTGCGCCTGCCATCAGCCCCTGCCCCGACACGCGCCCCTGCCTCCGCCGCCAGCCCCTGTCCACTGCTCCTGCTATCGGCCCCTACCCCGTCCCCTGCCGCCAGCCCCTGTCCCCTGCTCCTGCCCCCTGCCCCTGCCTTCGGCCCCTGTCCCCTGCTCCTGCCACCTGCCCCCCACCCCTCCCCGCTG